GTGTTATTACATGACACGTGGCTCCTAAAAACTCCACTGGACACGCACCACGCAATGGGAGCGAAAGAAGCAAACGATGCCTTTGTATCATGACGAAAACAGTTTTGATCTGCGGACCCCCCCGAAGGGGTTTTCAGGATGACAACAGTCCCTGGACTATATTTTGAGAGGTTGACACTGTTTAAATAATAAGAGCAATGTCATTCATAACATTTTCTTCTTTGCCTTGAATATTAGAAAGTTCAGAACGAGGTTTACGAATCAGTTCAGGCCGGGAACTCGAGCCTGTCCAGCCTCTGTCACTCCACGCATCGGCAACCTGTTTGCTACATGGCTTTTACTTTTTTTTTTATTAAAAATTTTTTTTTTTACATTTATTTATTTTTGAGAGAGAGTGAGACGAAGTATGAGTGGGGGAAGGGCAGCGAGAGAGGGAGACACAGGATCGGAAGCAGGCTCCAGGCTCTGAGCTGTCAGCACAGAGCCCAACATGGGGCTCGAACTCACGGACCGCGAGGTCATGACTTGAGCCGAAGTCAGACGCTCAACCGACTGAGCCACCCAGGCACGCCTTTTACTTTTTTTTTTTTTTTTTTTTTTTTTTTTTTTTTTAGTGTTAATGGCTTTTGGTCACATTTCTTCTGTGTTTTTATTAGAAGTTGCTTCCAATCCTTTTTGGAAATAGGTGGGGTTTTTAAAAACATGTGTGTGTGTGTGTGTATGTATTTCAGCACCCATAAGTTTCAAATTACACTTTTATTTCATTTTCATATCTGTCTAAGCTAGCACACCATCAACAGGATGAAAACATATACGACAGTCACATAAAACATTAAGATGTCTGGGGCTCCAGTCGGTTAAGCATCTGACCTTGGCTCAGGTCATGATCTCACAGTTCGTGAGTCCAAGCCCCAGGTTGGGCTCTGCCCTGACAGCTGGGAGCCCGGAGCCTGCTCCGGATTCTGTGTCTCCCTCTCTTTCTGTGCTCACTCTTTCTCTCTCTCAAAAATAAATGAATAAACATTGAAAACACAAAAAAAGATTAAGATGTCTGTTTGATGGGCTTTCTTAATAGTGCCCAGAGGATAGGCGTTGCATCAAAAGGAAACTGCTACCTAAAAAGACACAGCTCGAAGAGAGACAATTTTTCACTCCGGAAATTAGGCTCCAGTGTCTGAATCGTTCCTCAACACTCCCACCTACACCATTCCACGTTTTCTATGTCAATAACTAATTTGATTGAAGCCCAGGACAGTCACGCTTTATAAACGTCTGCCCATCGCGTTTCCTTCTTCTGTCTGGAAGATCCGCGTGGCAGCCAGTCACGCGGTAGGGGATCCCACCTGTGGCCACCCTGACTTCGATCGGGCTGTGCACCTGATCCAGGCTGGACCCTTCACACTTTCCGTCCTGGGCCAGAATCTCTTCCCTAGAGAAGAGGTAGATGTGGTAGTTGTTAAGGGGTGTCTTGCCCTGGGGCTGGCGGCCCGGCCCGTGGAGAAGGGAAAGCTGACTGCACAGAGAGACCTGGTGTGGAGACAATTTCCCTCTATATCGGGTCCAGTAAAGGATCCTGGAGAGCGCTGTGGGTCCTAAATATGCATTTCCTCTCTGAGGGCTTGCATCGGGCAAAAACTGCTTTCCGTCCGAGGCCAACTAGATTAGCAAATATTTTCTCCAGCTTTTCCTCCCCAGAAGGCAAATGTATAGATTAGGAAATATTTCCCCCAGCTTTCCATCCCCGGAGGACAAATGTACGGAGGACCAGAGTTGGATGGAGTTCGCAATTGACTCTGCGGGTGAGTATTTGCCGAGGGCCACACACCCAGGGACCTGAGTGACAGAAATCCCCAGGTGCCCGGGAGAAGACTGGCAATTATGTTTCCAATCACCTGCCTGTTCCCGGCGCCTCCAAATCAGCACTCCCCAGAGCCCTGACCCTCGGTGGCTGGCAGGGCGACCCACTTTTAACGGTGCCAATTTTTAGCAGCTGGAAACAATAAACGCAGAGGGAGGTGAATTCCTGGAGGACTGATTTCTCCTTGACTGGTTTTTGAAAGCCAGAAGATGCTGTGGGGCTATATAGCAGGGCAGCAAGGACCGTGGGAAGCCGGTGGCCCAGGCTCCCTCCTGCCAGGGACGGCGGTTGACACGCTTCCTCGGGCCTCAGGTTTTGCAGCGGCAGGATGAGGAGCTAGAACTAGATGGTCTTTCATATGCCTTTCGTCTTCCACTTTCTCCCATCCTTGTGAGCTGGGAAAGATTTACGCAGAACTTCATCTTGATTTTATTACTGTTAGTTCATCTTCTCGTGACACGGCCAGCGGCGGCCTGAGCGCGGGGAAGTAAGTGGCTCTCTCTCAGGGATGATTTAAGAGGTGCTGAAAGCCCAGAGTAGCCTCCCTCTCTGTTCTGCCACAGCAAGGGCCTGAGGCTCCCTTGCCCCGGAGCCAGACCTGGGATCCAAGCATTGTTCGTAGACGGTCTCGGTCAAATGGCAAACACATGCCCATTGTTCCTCTGGGAGCCCATCAGCCTGGACTTGCCCCTGGATTCCCTAGGAATGCGAGCAGGAGTGGCCAGGAGAGGTCTGAGGCCCAGGGCATCCCAGCGGGGACCCGGCCTCCTGAGCACAGGGAGGTGGCTTGTCAGCCGCAGGCATCAGCCTAGGCTCTGCTTCATTTTGACTCCCCTGATGGTTTCCCCCTCCTCAGGGGGCCCTGCGGGGAAGGAGGAGGTTCTCTGACCCAGTTCCGGTGTCCCTCCTCTATGCCAAGAAAGCAAGACTTCAGGCCCCTGGCAGAGGAGTTTCTTAGAGGAAGCCTCAGCTCTGTCTTCCACCACGTAGGCCGTCCTGACAAAAAGATGAGGCCGAGTAGGCCACCCTGGAGAAAATGGCCCGATTCTGTGGTGGGGCAGCCCGGAACCAGAGGCCCCTTCCATAGTGGGGACTCTCGACTGCTCCCAGAGTTGGTCATGAGAACTGATGTCCCCCTTCACTGGGCCGGCTGCCTCAGGAGCTGCCTCAGGCACCCACCACCAAAAAATAAGGCTGGGGTGTCAGGCTGTGTGGCAAGCCTCCTTTTGTTCGCTTCCGTTCTCAACTCATAAACATGGAGAAAGGGTAACCAGAAGGATAACTTCCTAGCATTCCTTGGGGGGGGGGGGTTATTTATCAATATGGCAGCCGTAGGCGCTTTAGAGATAAATGAACCATCGGATGGCACCCTGAGGTATTATTCCACGACACAGAGTTTTAAACACCGATTCCCTCTGCGCTCCGTTGGAACGGGTGTAGAACATTGTATGTTAAGAACCAGGCTTCCCGCCGACTTTCTTAGACCGCTGGGCTGATCAAGGCTTTATCTCATGGTCGGGTGAGGACTAGGGTGTGTTCCGGTGACGTATGAGTGTGTAGATACCAAGTAGTAATGAAAACGCAACCGAAGCAAAAAACATCCTGAGTGGTAGCGCGAAACCTTCTGAAAAGAAACCATCTGAGGAGCCTAACAGAAACAGGTGTGTTTTGTATTTGCCGGGGATAAACAGGAAAGGAACAGGCACAGGTGCGGAACCACAAATATCCCATCGCCACCACCCGGCACCCGTCTCCTTAGTCTCCAGGGAAAGTCACCCCGTAACGCAGTGTAGGACCCAAGAATCCCAGTTTTTCCCAGGGGGTTGCTCATAATCCAGCAGAGATTTCTGGATGTGTTGCAAGGGCCCCATTAAAACCCCCAAGTTTAACTTGCCTTGGCCGTCTCCCCCTCCTCACTACTGCGTATTCCTTCTGTGGGAGAGTGTGAGTCCTGGGTCAGTCACCAAGAGCTGTGCGGTTAAGGCCAAAGCACTTAGCCTATCGGGGCCTCGGTGTCCTAAAGGGCAAAATTAGAATAACAGACCCACGTGATTTACTGAACTTGCGGCAGGCGTGGGGGGGGGGG